CTGTCTGCTCCTCCCAGCAAATGTCTGGGTAGTTTAGGTCACCCATGACAATAACATCCCTTGACCTAACCGCCTCCATAAGCTGACTGGAGAAGTCCTGGTCCAGCTCTTGACCCTGGTTGGGTGGTCTGTAGTAGACACCCACCACCCTAAGGTCCCTTTTGCCATGCCTCCCTTGTAGCTTGACCCATAGTGCCTCTGCCCAACCCTCCTCTAACCCAAAGCTAATCCTTGATGATGTGAGGTGCTCTTTGACATAGAGCGCAACCCCCCTGACCTTTCCTCTCTGTCCTGTCTCTTCTATATAGGGTATATCCCTGAATGCCCACTGCACAGTCATAGGTAGGGGGTTGTACTACCTACCTCAGCTCTGTTTTCCGTGTTGATTCTGAGACAAAATACCCTGTATTGCATTCTGGTTTGGGTAGTCAGCCTGTGCTTTTTGGTGCAATTAGAACACTTATTTAAAAAAAAAAAAAAAAAAAAAAGATTACTAAGTCTCTTCTGTAATTTTTTTCTGTTTATATTGTAGGAAGAAATATTTCATATGTAAAAGTGTTTTCTCCTCATTGATGGATTTTAGAAGTGTAACATGGATTGTCATTTCTGCCTTTCATTTCCCTTATGAATCCTAATCCTGATTTTCTTTCAGATACCTTGCAAATATTTTCTGAAAGAAGGTCAGTTGCTAAAGTTCATGATCTATGAACATGAATGGTACAGTAAATGGTTGAAATCTCTGGCTTTACCTTTCAGGTCATTTGACTATAGTTGTAGCAGGTTTAAAGACCTGATTAAGTTTGCTTTGAATTTTAGATGTTCAAGACTACATAGTTGGTTGATCAACATAAGATTACCTCCATAGGATTGCAGGTGCTGTTCTCACAGAGTAATGCCATTTTAAACTCCTCTACTTACCTGGTATTCCTTCAAACCCCCTTTAGTTCTTTCTTTGTCCTCTCAAGTACAGAATCTTTTATAGAAATTCTATTTTTCTCAACACCAGTTGCACTGGATTCTCCATCACAGTGTTTAAACCAAGATTGGATATTTTTATAGAAGACACCTTCTAGTTCAGTTTTAAAATCCTATGGCCTACTTTATGCTGGGGGTGGGATCAGGCTAAAACAGGGGTGGGCAATTATTTTGGCTGGAGGGCCGCTTAATGAGTTTTGGTGAACTGTCAAGGGCCACAAGGGTAGCCTTGCCCCTTGACAGATGCCCCACCCCTTGGTTGCCATCTTGGGACCAGAAGTCCCATCTCTAATTCCTGCCCGGCTGCCACTGGAAGTCCGTCCCAGAAGTGCTCCTTTTGTGGGGGAAGCAGCGGAGTTGCCATCTTGGAACTGGGAAAAAAACCCCAAATCGTGTACTAAAAATCAAACCTCTACTACAACATGGTTTAATTGTTTCAAAAAATATTTTCATCCTGATTTGTGTTTGTGTAGTGTATATAGAGGTGATTTGTATAATAGCTCAAAATCAAGTCTTACTCTTATATATTGTTTGTGGGGCGTGGTTGGGGAGTGGGTGCATGTGTGTGGGTATGGTGGGGTGTGCATGTTGGGGGGGGGGGGCCCCTATACACTTTCTCTCCTTCCTTCCCCCTCACCATGGTGCACAGTCCTTGCCACCGACAGCAGCAGGTAGCAGGCACTCATTGCCTGCACCAGGCAGAGGCCCCTGGTGGCATGTGGCTCTGGCCGAATCCTGGAAGCTGCACATGGTGGAAGGGAGTGGGGCCAGGCCACTAGATCCATCATGTGGGGCTCCTGCTGCTCCTGTCTGAATTTCAGGAGCTGCACTTTGCAGCAGGGAGTGGAGCTAGACCTCTGGCTCCATTGCACACGGCTCCCAGCTAAGTCACAGGAGCTGCATGTAAGCTGTGGGGAGTCTCACATGATGGAGTTGGCTCTGGCCCCATGCATCTGCCAGTCCTGCACTCCAGGCTCCGTGTTCCCGCCAGCCCTGGCCCTGCACTCCTTCCATCCTGCTCCAGCCCTAGCCCACTCCAGCTGTCACTGGCCCTGCGCTCCTGCTCAGGTGCATCTTACCCCATGCCCTCTGCCGCTTCCCTGCCTGCTGCCTAGAGTGCTGTAGCAGGGACAGGAGGAGGAGCCAAGGGAGCTAACCAGTTCCCTGGGTAGCTGCAGCAGCCCTGCCCAGCTGCGCACACTGGCCAAGGTTAGGGCCCTCCTGAGAGCAAGGGTGGGAGCACAAACTGCTGCCCTGCCAGGAGTAGGTGGGGCTCAGTCACAGGGGCAGCCATACGCCAGATACAATTAATTGTTGGGCACCCATCCGTGGGTCAGATGAAATCACCTGGCAAGCCGGATCTAACCCACAGGCCATATTTTGTAGGCCCCTGGGCTAAATAATTACAATGTTCCCTTTCTGCCCTTTCAGATTCATAGATCATGAACCATTTTGCAACATACCTTTTATAACCTGTCCTCAAATGACATGCCACTGCTTAGTAGGCAATGTATTCTATTAGCAGAGTAGCAGATGAGGCTTTAGGTCCCTTAAACACTTTTTATGTTGTTTATTCCCCTTTTGGTGAATTCAGAAATCTATTAAGATGAAATGTTTCAGTGTAAAATCATGGGAAATATAAGAATAAGAATTCAGTAGCTTCCTATTAAGACTTGGAATTGTGACTTTGTAAGCATGGTACCATATAGTCTGTCATTCTGTGACAATGCAGCCTCCTGCAGAATCCATCTCTTAAAAGAGAATTGACTTCTAGCCCCTATGATTGAAAATATAACATTAAAGTTTCAATTAAAATATAAACTAATGTTCTTTTTCTAAATCTGGATACAGCCCGAAACACTGATTTTAATGACTGTGATGTGTCTTTAATTACTTTGGGATGTTAGCTTTGAAACTGTAACCCAATTTAAATGTCAGTATTGTTAACTACTGCATTGCCAGTTATTTTAACAAAAGCAGCTCATTTGCTGGTTTATAATCCTGTACCAGATTATATGCTTTCCCAGATGCTAAAAGTCCCAGCTGTTCTCTTTCCAGTTGTAAAAACCTCTAGCTTCACTATGACAGGTTTTTTAATAACACCCGTACAAAAATCTTTGGCACATTGATGACTGAATTGTGAGCTGTACAAATTAGCACAATATCAAACCATCGAAAGAGAGGTCCTGTGCTGCTTGTACTACTTACTTTCACCACAGTCAGTTACTGGAGTGGCTTCAAGTCGCAGAGCTTACAACTGAGTTTAAATTCAGTTGATCATGGAGCACTCAAGGTCTTGTGTGTAATGTGGAAAGGTAAGTTTGCATTGTCCAAATCAGATTTTGGTAGGAGTGATACAGTTGGTACACTTTTCCTGAGGTAATACATTGATAGCAGTTTTTAAATATGTATCTTGCAGTAGTTTTGAACTTTGCATTATGCATCTGCAAATATGCCTTATTCCTAGCACTTTTTGCCATTCTGTGCTTTTGAAGAAAAAACATGTATTGGCTAAAATGATAGACTTAGCTATTTGAGCCATGGTTGATTCTTGCACCAAGGATAAAACTACAGAAGGCTATCTATTCTTCCTTAAACGTAAGAATGTCATGTTATGCTTAACTGGCGAATATATTGGATTTTAATGTTTATTTTTTATGTTAGAATCCTCAGGTAAAGGGTATGCTGTAGCACATACACAAGGAGGAGAAGAGAAAAAGCAAGCTTCTGGCACATCTGGCACTAGAGGAACTAGGAAGAAGCCTACAAATACTACTCCAAGAAGAAGATCTGCAAGGAATAGCAAGAATGAGGCTATGAGTCAATCTCGAAGCTCACCAAGATCAAGTAATTCTAGATGCAGTGCCCCTGATGATGATGACTCGTCTCTGAAAGTTTCTCCTGCAGCACCAGAAGAAAAACCACTTCCAAAACGAAAATCTAAAAGAGGAGTTAAACAGCAGGCACCTGTAGTTAAAAAAAAACTTAGAAGTTCTATGCGCACAGAAAAATCATCTAGTGATTCAGTGGAAGATGATGAAGCTGCCGAGTCTGATGCGCCTCCAGTGTTGGATCAAGATCACCAGTCAGATAATGAAAGCCTTCTGCACAAAAATAATGCAGAAACAGAGTCTGCTAATGGCTTGGAAAGCTGTAGTGAACATGTAGAAAATGAGGAAATTGCAAAAGATTATGCTCAAGAACGGGATATTTTAGAAGATGCAGACTTGGGTTCTTGTACCCAAGAACCTCCTGCTTTGCAAGAAGAGAGTCAGAAAGTTGAAATAAAAAGTGGCGATGAAAACGTTGCAGATTTTGAGAACGAGGATGTTTGTGAGAATACGTTTGAAATGGTGAATACAATGAATAGTCCCAGAAATGAATTATTGGAACATTCAGTAACACTTAAAAAAATAGATCAAACATTTAGTCCCCAGGATGAATTATTGGAAAATACAGAAACTTTGACAGAAGCATATCAGTCACTAGATAGTCCCAGAGAGAAACTGTTGGAGTACCCAGAATCAGTGGAAAATGATGATAAATCATTTGATAGCCCAAGAAACAAACTGTCTGAGCCAACTGACTCTGTAGACTTGGATGGTTGTGAGGATAAAGAAAAAAAATCAAGTGGTAAAAGTGCAATGGTTCCAAACTCACCTGTTCAAGATGCTTTAACAGATGTCTTAATAACTACTATTCAAGATGTTAACAAATTGGACCAGTCCTTTAAAGAAGAGAGCATGCCTGTAAATAAAGAAGTCAGAATTGCAGAATCATCCAAGATAATTACTGAACAATCTAATACACATTTTAATGAAGATAACAATGAAATTATACCAATGGAATGTGATTCATTTTGTAGTGATCAGGCTGAATCTCATATCGAACAGTCACCGTCACTTGATTGTGTAAAACCAGTGGAGACAAACTCCTTATCTCAAGAGACTGAAAATTGTACATTACTTTCTGACAAAAAAGGTGAAAGTAGTTTACATGAAACAGAGTGTCCAACAGAATTTAAAAAAGATAAAAAGACTCGAACCAGACGGTCTAGATTTCACTCTCCATCAACAACCTGGTCTCCTTCAAAGAAGGGGGGCAGGAAATCTGAATCGCCATCACCCAAAAGGGAGACTATCAAAGAAGGTGAGCGATCTCGCTCACCCAAGAAGGAGACGGACAGGGAGGGCAGGCGGTCTCAGTCACCCAAGAAGGAGACGGACAGGGAGGGCAGGCGGACTCGGTCACCCAAGAAGGAGACGGACAGGGAGGGCAGGCGGACTCGGTCACCCAAGAAGGAGACGGACAGGGAGGGCAGGCGGTCTCCTTCACCCAAGAAGGAGACTGACAGGGAGGGCAGGTGGTCTCGTTCACCCAAAAGGGAGACTGACAGGGAGGGCAGGCGGTCTCCTTCACCCAAGAAGGAAGCTGACGGGGAGGGCAGGTGGTCTCGTTCACCCAAAAGGGAGACTGACAGGGAGGGCAGGCGGTCTCCTTCACCCAAGAAGGAAGCTGACGGGGAGGGCAGGTGGTCTCGTTCACCCAAAAGGGAGACTGACAGGGAGGGCAGGCGGTCTCCTTCACCCAAGAAGGAAGCTGACGGGGAGGGCAGGTGGTCTCGTTCACCCAAAAGGGAGACTGACAGGGAGGGCAGGCGGTCTCCTTCACCCAAGAAGGAAGCTGACGGGGAGGGCAGGTGGTCTCGTTCACCCAAAAGGGAGACTGACAGGGAGGGCAGGCGGTCTCCTTCACCCAAGAAGGAAGCTGACGGGGAGGGCAGGTGGTCTCGTTCACCCAAAAGGGAGACTGACAGGGAGGGCAGGCGGTCTCCTTCACCCAAGAAGGAAGCTGACGGGGAGGGCAGGTGGTCTCGTTCACCCAAAAGGGAGACTGACAGGGAGGGCAGAAGAACACCTTCACGATCTCCCAAAAGGGAGACTGTCAGGGAGAGCAGAAGATCTCCTTCTCGATCAAGAGTTAAAGATTTCTCTCCAAGGCAGAAATCTAGGTCTCAAAGCAAAGATAGAGATAACGACAGAGATGGCCAAAGAAGAGAACGTGACAGAGACAGAAGAAGTAGGAGATGGTCAAGATCCCGATCTCGATCCAGGTCAAGATCCCCATCTCGAACAAGAAATATGGGTCCTTCCTATGCTAGGAATGAGAGAGGTGGTCACTCACCTCGGTGGAAGGAGAAATGGAGCAATGACAGCTGGAAAAGTCCAAGGGGAACTGATAGGTACAAAAGAGGTGAACAAGAGAAACAGAATGAAAATATGAAAAAAGAAAAGGACAATATAGACAAAGATTCTGATGACCAGTGTTTGTCTGACAAGTATGGTAATGATTATCCAGATTGGGTAATGGAAAGAATAAATTCTGTTCCTGAAACTAGGAGCAGAGAGAGAGAGACTTTTAAAGATCCACAGTGGGAAGACAACAGATGTGATAATTCAGGATATTCTTGGAATAAAAATTTTGGTTCAGGTTGGATTTCAAATCGTGGCAGAGGTGGCCGAGTCAGAGGTGGCCGGGGCAGAGGTGGTTTCATGTATGGAGACCGAAACGAAAATCATTGGCAAAATAGAAAACCCCTCTCAGGAAATTCAAATGGCTCTGGGAATGAAACTGTCAGGTTCCCAGAACATCAACCATACAGGCATAAAAATGAACAGGATTTTTCTTTTGATACGCCTGCTGATAGATCTGGGTGGACATCTGCATCTAGTTGGGCTGTAAGGAAGACTTTACCTGCAGATGTGCAGAACTATTATTCAAGAAGAGGACGAAATTCTTCCAGTCCACAGTCTGGATGGATGAGGCAGGAAGAAGAGACTTCTGAGCAAGGTATTTTTTTTTTTTTTTTTAAATCTAGGGATTTAAATAGGGAATATTTTCATAAACTTCTTTTTAAACCCTACAAAGTTTTTGACTATTTTTTACTGTTTTGTCCATAAAATGTTACTCATAAGGATGTCATAACAGACGATTGGGAAATATCCTTGTTAATTTTGACCCTGCCTCTATACCAAAAAATGCTTCTGTCTGACCATTCAGTAAATTAAGAATTAAATTTCTAGTCCTTGGGATTACAATGCAACCAAATATACCCTTTAAAATATATATTCTTTTGCTTCTTTAACTGATGCACTTGTAAACGGGTAAAGAGTGAGTAGACAAGAAGTAGTTTCATTCAATTTCTCTTTCCTTTTTTTAAATTAAGGTTATTTCTTCAGAGAGATCTTACATTTCCTTTGAAAATGCATGCATTAGGTTTAAGAATTGGTAATTAGTTGACCTGATGGCACAAAAAGTTTAAAAGGTTTAACACTCATGTTTTCCTCTAAAAATGTTGGCAGTGATATTCATGCTATAGAGAATATTCAGTAGAACACTTGTTTCATTTGGGTTAAATTAACAGAGATTTAGCTCATTGTATCATTGTAAGAACATTTAGGCATAAGAGTTGTGTTGCAGTTACCAGTCAACTATGTTTTCATAAGCTGAATATGAGCCAAGTGTGCTCTTGTGAAAAAGCTCAACAGCATACTGAGCTATATTATTGGAGCATCACTTGTGAAGTAAAAGGGAGGTGGTGACCTTCTTTTGCCCAACAGCCTAACTTAAGGCATTCACTTAGAAAGTGTTCTTTCTGGGTTCCAGGCCCTGTACAGCCTAAAAGGGGTTGAGCCCACCACCCTCTACTTCTAGGCAGCCAAGTGTGAAAGATTTATGGGACAGGGGAAAATCAAGAGGGGGCCTGGCTCTGGTTCACAGAGGGGGAGAGGAGAGCCTTGGGTTCTGGCTCCAGTTTCCTGCTCCCATGGCCATTTATGCATTATTCTGCCTGTGCTGCCAAACAGTTACATTGTGTTTTTTCTGGTAAGATTTGGGGACTTCTGCAGACTTGCACTTTTTCAAATAGCAAGAGCAAACTGGGAGGTAGGTGCCTAGGTGGTGTCATAGATTGCTTCTGAGTGTGAACACTATTAGAGACCAGTTGCCTGAGCTGTAAGCAGTCATCTCATTTGTGGTGATTCTGGTTGTCGTGGGTTTTGATTTGGATCAAAGCAGGAGTGTCACAGCCCTTTACATGCGTAGCCCTTCCAAGCTGCATTATTCTTCTGCCAGTAGGTGGCAAGGGAGAGCACATGTACTGATAGGCTTGTCTCTAGAATGATTTGCAGTTGATTTAAATCAGCTGCAGTAAACTTAGATCCACACAGTGCTTGGAAAAAAATTTTTAATACATTTTCACAGGTACTTGAAGTTAGACAATGGGTGTGACTGTCTGTAGGATCCCAGGACAAACACTTTCCTCCTGGGAGAAATGGGCCATCTGTTTACAACTATAGAGATCTTTCTAAGTCAAAATACAGGTGTATAAGGAACCTAGATACCTTGGCGATTTTGTGGCTGGTGCATGGGTCCATGGTTGTGACTTAAATGCCTAAAAGCCACCTAAGTGGCACCTAGATGTACTTTCCGAGGTGGTGTAGGATCTTGGTGTTAGTGTGTTTATATGTTTGAGCTCTGTAGAAACACGGATTTTTTATTTTAAATACTGTGTTCTCTTGTTTGATAGATCCAAACCTCAAAGACCAAACAAACCAACAAGGGGAAGGTTCTCAGCTACCAATAAATATGATGCAGCAACAAATGAATGTAATGCCACAAGTGAATGCACAACACCAGCCTATGAATATCTTCCCGTATCCAGTCAGTGTTCCTCCACCTATGATGAATATCCAACACAATCCATTTAATATTCGTCCTCCAATACCATTGCATCTCCATGCAGGAGTGCCTCTCATACAGGTAGCTCCTCTGACCAGTGTAACTCAGGGATTACCACCACCTCCACCTCCTCCTCCACCATCCCAGCAAGTCAACTATATTACTTCGCAGCAAGATGGAAAACAATTGCAGGTGTGTTTTTTTCAGAAACAGGGATCTAAACAATGCAGTCATAAGACAGCTAAGCCGTGAATTATAAGAAACAAAAGCATCTTGCTTTATTTAAGTGCTATCTGTGTGAACAGTTCCTCCTTATCCTCCTACCCCCCAAATGTTCTTATTGAAGTATTTATGGAGAAATGAAGCCTAATTTAAAACTGAGCTTTTAGTATATAATTTGGTAACGTTTATTTTTATTACAGTAACATGCTGATACACCAATCAAGAATGGGGTGTTGCTGTTTTCTCATAATTTGTCCACTATAAGATTTTTTGTGGGAGGAGAAGGGGGGTAGGGTAGAGTTTTTCAGTCTTCTCTCAACTTTTTCCATTATTTAATATTCTTTCTTATTTTCTTTCATTCTTTTGCTTATGTCATACTATTTTGCCCCTTGTCTTGGGAGCTTCAGTTCTTTGTTTATCCAGTCACTACAAGTTTGTTTTGCTGGGAATAGGTCAGAGCATCTACTTGAAACTTGTAAGGTTTTTTGAAGAAGTATTTCGACTGGTGGGTCAGTCCTCGCCTGTAAGCTTCTCCTGCAGTCTTCAGTTATAGGAGTCAAAACAGGAATCATGAAGAAAGCTGGGTGGCTTCCACTATGATCTGACACTTTACCAGGGCATAGAGGAGCATTCATTCAGTGTGTAAAGTGAATCTGGGGTTCACTTTGTTCTGTATTGATCCTCTGCTATAGTCTGTCCCCCTAAGCTACTTTGACATACTTCCCTTTGCAATCCAGGTTTTAAAGCAGTGCTTCCCAAACCTTACCTCATTTACTGCCTCCTAAAAAGATGAAGTGACTTGATTGAACATGAAGCTCACATTCAACATCTTGGAAGCCCAAGTTTTAGATGGTACTCACTTTCCACTTGTGTTGGCAAATTTGCCATTATAAAAACAAATCAAAGGAGTACTGTGGGTTTCAGTTAGCGTGAAAGATTTCATGTCCCCCATGGGCCAAAATGATGGAGTCCTATTTTAACTGGTAGTAGGCAGATTCTGATAGACCTAAAACTATTACAGTTAGAATTTCAGTTTAATCTCAGAAATGTGGGAGCTGAATTTGTGCTGTAATCTGTTTCCTAACTGAATTGCCCGGTGAAGTGGTAATTTGGCTTGTAAACACCAAGTCTGTGGCTCTAAAGAATGGGTGTAGAATTAGAACAACAGATTTATTTGACCCTCGTCCACCATCACACAGTGGTATCTTTACAGGAGCTGGAGTCTGTTAGAAGCTGACTGAGAAACTTGATTAAAGGATCTTCTGGGAGGATCTTTATGTTAGATTTGCCCCTTTATTGCCAAGGTTCTTAAGAGCAGAAGCGTGCAGTTGCTTGCCCAGTGTAGAATTTTATGCTTCTCAGTGGAGACATCAGGGGTCCAAAGAAAGGCAGGCAACAAAAACAGTGAAGGGCTTGGAAGGCAAATCATATGAAGAGAGTTTGAAAGAAATAGGCATGTTGAGCTTGCAGAAAAGGCAATTAAGAGGGGACATGATAGTAGTATTCAGATTATCTGAAGAGCTGCCATAAAGGAGAGAACAGTTTCTCTGTTGCTGCAGCATAGGACACGGAGCAGTGACTTGAAATTGCTTTTAGAGTAGGTTTAGATTGGATACCAGCACAGACTTCTTTGCTGTTAGAGCAGTGAAATAGACAGGAGCACATGCATCCACTCCACCGGGCATGGATCAGGAGACCTGCGCAGCCCGGAGCAGGTAGAAATTGGAAAGGCTTGTGTTCAACAGAAGCAGAATTAATCAGAGCGACACGATTAGATACAAAAGAAAAATAAGAGACCTGGGATAGTTCACGGAGTGGATAGGATGACAGAAAGAGGATCTCTGGCTCTCTAGTTAGGGTGTGTGGTGTGTGGAGCTGGGTTTGCAATCACCAGCTTGCAGAGCAGAATGGAGGGTGTTTGGGTTTTCATATGCTTTTGTGCTTTGCTTGTTGCCATGTGGGGCTGGGAATTTTTCCCCCCATCCTGTTAGGTTTTTTTCACCTTTCTCAGAAGCATTGGGTGTTGCTGCATCCAAGACTGGGATTTTTGACTGCAGTGAGCTGGTGTTCCTGTTGGGACTAAAACCCAGCGGTTCCTGCTCAGAGGGTCTTGCTCTTCTGCTCAGACCATTTGGGATCAGGAAGAAATTTTACCCATAGTCAGAGTGGTACGGACTGTGGATTTTTGTCTTCCTCCGTAGCAATCTCTTCCTTGGATCTCTCAGGTGTATTTTAATTACCACTTGCAACAGTGTGCCATTGCACCTTTTTCTCCCTTCTTTACCTGTGGCAGGCTTGGGAGTTCTTGGTGTTTTGGGGCAGTGTGCCTGATAGTTGTGCAGCAGGGCTGTTTGTGTAGTTTTAAGAACAGGTTAGACCAACACTTGCATTAGGATAGTTTAGATGAGGATGATCCTGCCTTGAGGAGGTGGTTGCACTGGATTAGCTTCTAAGGTCCTTTCCAGCCCTGCATCTCTTTGATTCTCATGAGAGGAGATTAAAAGATGCTTTGCGCTGCATTCTGATCTCTGTGTTAAGGACATTCAGGCTATAAACAGATGTCATCTTTGGAACAGGATCAGGAGTCCTGCCACAGCTAATGTATTTCACTGGCCTTTCCAAACATTGTTGGGGCTGTTGAGTCTCAGGGTTGGGCCCCTGCTGCTCCCAGAGTCCTGAGTTGCATGCTGTGGGAATCCCATAGCTCCAGCTAATATAAAACAGTGGAACAAGTCTTCTAAAATAGAGTGTGGGCATTATTGCAATACCTCAGTGCTCTTTGCAAGCTTTTCTGTGCGTGTATTTCAAGACGTTCGTGGAGATATTTAGAGGGGTGAATGACCTGGGACCTATTTACCTCATGCATTTGACAAGACTCAGGTTTTGAAAGAACTTGCTCTCCTTAGGTTTGATCATTGTATGAAGTTACAGAACATTCCTTAGGAATTCCTTTCCATTTGAAAGTCCATAAGAGCCAGTAGCAGTATTAATGACACAATATGGTAAGAACTGTTACCTGGATTACAGGTGTTTGCTGTGTTGGCTACTGATAAGAGGCAACAGACAAGTCTGTATCTTGATTGTTTGCTTATACCCCAAAGCTCAAGAACAGACACGTACCCCAGTGTCAGCCTGGCTACCTGGGACCATGCACTATTACCTGCTTTTACCTATACTTCTGGGGGGAGAACTGGATATGCAGAGTAGCAGCAGGACTTATTGAATTTGCAGAGTTCTTCCATTTTCCCTCATCTGCTGTATTTATTTATGTCTTACTTTAAAAACTCTTTGATTTATGTAAACTTCTTGAGATTTTGGGAACCAGACTGAACAGGTTTCTCTGCAGCAATGATTCTAATCCTCACCAGACTCAAGGCACCCCTTGGAAAACACCAGCTCTTAGCTCTCGCTCATTATTTTTGACTACAGGAAAAATAAGAGCAATTCTTTTGTTGCACAGAACTCAGGCCACAGTAGGTCAGGATGTTCTTGTGCATCAGTCAGAGGGTGCCACAGCACCTTGGTTGACAATCACTGTTCTGTGGACTTGGAAGATGGGATTTACATCCTTGTAAAACAAACAGTTTTGGAAGGGAGGATTCCTTACTACTTTTGCCATCCTGGAATGCTGTTTGCCACTATCCTGTTTTCCTTTCCCTTTGCTTTATGATCTTCCCTAACAAGGCTGCTTTAGTTTTATAACCAAATTTAAGATTAACACTTATCTATGCATCTATAGCAAAACCACATCTAAGAGACTTTGTTACATCAGTCACTACTGGTAACATTTTAAAACAAAAGCTGTAATAATATTTAGCTTATCTAGTTGAAGGCTGCCTTGTATAATGCCTCCTTTCAAGCCTTTTGCTGTTTTAATTTTTTTTTCTCCCTGCTGGTTTAGCTGGACATGATTGCTTTCTGTACTTTGACCAGGTCACGTCTACAAAATGATCACTCAAACAGGTCTTGTGGGCTCCTGCTCTAGCCATATTTCTGCAACTTGTCTTTGTCCTTTGAAAATGACAGTCTGACAACAGATGTGTGGGGAGGTTTTTCTTTCCAGTTTTTGACTGCTTTTCTTTTTCTTGTGTGCTAATCTTATGAAAGTCTTAGGTGCAGTAGCAATAGTCAGTGTAGAAGTTAGCTAAGAAACTGAAGCTCATGTAGTATTTTTCTGCAGTTGCTTAGAGTGCTGGAAAAATAGTTTTTGCCTCTTTGAAAAATAATGCATTAACTGCTGGCTACTTCTTAAAACAGGGTATGCCTAATGCACTTCATGTCAGTAATAACATGACTGTACCAGTGTTGCCTGCTCCAACAGCAGCCCTGGGAAATGTGGAGACAGTTCAGGGACCAGCTTCTGGTAATGCAACTTCATCAAGTCACATAAAAAATTCTAATGCTGCTGTAAAAGTGGGAGAAAGCAAAGGAAGCATAACCGTGGAAGCCAGCGCAGACAGCTCGAAGAAAGACCAGGCAAGTGCAAAGTTGAGCAATTAATAAAATTGTACAGCATTGAAAGTTAGAGAGCAGTCTCCTGTGTGTGTAGGATTTTCAGTGCAGTCACCCTGTGGACACTGTATGAGTACAAGAAACTTTAACTTTGAATCTAATGAACTAGTGAGACTCTTAGAACTGTACAACTGGAAGTGTGTTAAAATATTTTGATCAATAGTGGATCTGCATTCTGCTCTGATTCAGCCACTATTTTCATTGCAATCCATGGAGGTGCTATATTCCAAGGACTGGAACGTGGCTCTGGTTTTGATGCCTTACATTTGAGTAACTTCTGTTTGCAGAGTTTAAACTGTTTTGATGGTTAGAACTAATTTTAAGTAATTCTGTGTGAAGGGTGTTTCTACAAGATTATAAAATAATATGATTTTGTTTTTTTGTCAGAAATTGTTAATTCAGGAAAAAGCAGCGCAAGAGGTCAAACTGGCAATTAAACCTTTCTACCAGAATAAAGATATTAGCAAGGAGGAATATAAAGAGATTGTGCGGAAGGCAGTAGATAAAGTAAGTTATATTCAAGAATGACATTTTAATAAACAATTTCACAATATATTTACTCCACAGGTAATCCTGACATAGGGTGTAACAGAGCCAGTGCTCAGCACCTCCTTAGTTAAAAAAAAAAAAAAAAAAAAAAAGCAATAACAGTGAAGAGGTAGATGATGCTTCCTCTTGGCTTCATAAGACAGCCTTCTTCTGCGGAATCTGCCAGTCTTGGCCAAAAAAGGCATTTTATCATCTTAATTTTTTAATGAACTTCTTGTTGGTTTGTTTTAAACCTGTCACAGGTTTGTCACAGCAAGAGTGGAGAAGTCAACTCGACAAAAGTAGCAAATCTGGTGAAAGCGTACGTAGACAAATACAAACATTCACGGAAGAAAAATCCAGAGGAAGCATTCTCTGCGGAAAGAAAATAAGAGGAAAACGAAAAACCTGAAAACATGCTCTAGCTGCAAAGTGCAATTTCAACAAGAACCATTAACTGAAAATTGTTCATGACTATGATTGGAATCTGGTTTTGATAAAATTATTTTTCAATGTAGTATATAATGTTTTGTTCTAAATAAATATAGATTTAAGCTGCAACTTCTTTATCCCTTTTCAAAATAGATGCCTAAAAGAAAGTAAAAGGTATAAAGGAGAATGCATTTTTATTAGGAATGTATGATTGTGTGGATACTAGATGTACAGCAATTTCACTTGAATAATGGAGTGCATAAAATTAGAAATCTTGTCTAAGTACATTGGTTTTTGGAACAGGTATGTACAGTACATGTAATCAGTCAGATTAAAGATATTAAAGTAAGATTTTTCTTTGATTTCTCCCTAATTATATAGTAAAGATAAAATAATGTATTGCCTTGACAAATATTTCTAGTGTTAACTGGAGAGACTGAATGCAGGGGTCACAATGTGTATATAAAAAGCACATGGCTGTGTCTGAACAGAAGAACTGTTTAGATGAAAAGAGAATAAATTCACCATCCGTCAGTAAGATTTGGTGCCCAGAATCATGGGCGCTGTTGTTAACACCAAATAAAGATTATGCTGCTTGGTTTTGTTTTGTGACTTTTTTCAATTTTTGTTTTGAGATAGTGGGCTGAATTCAAGTAACTTGTGGAAAAGAACTCAAGGCCTCTAGTCACAAACGGTATGGTTCAGGCAACCACTGTGCACAGCTCTGGTAAATGACCTAAGAAATGATTATGCTTTAGAGCTAGATATTCAGGAAAAATAAGTACTGCAGTTCTGTTTTTATTTTTCTATAATTCTTCAAATATAGTAAAAGGGGGAAATCTTTACTAGGGTCTCTGTTGACCAGAGGTTGCCAGTTGTGCCAATTTTAGCTGTGTAAGATATTTTATTAGTTTGCTAGGGACTACAGCATAGGCCACCAAGCTCATGTCACTAAAGTTGCACAAAGATAATCCTAGGTAATGTGTCACTTAGTGCTTAGTAAAAAGCTTAGTCGTAGCTTTCAAACTTCCCAAAAGCACTTTCCAGTAAAGAGTTAGGTCCAGACTGTTCAGTCATTCTAAAGGCTGGTATTGGAACAATTAACTGCTCTGAAATAATTGATTCAAACCTGTTTATGGAGTTGGTTGGCTTGTTAGAACAGTGTGGTTTCTAGTTCTCATGGAAAAAGTTTCTTGGAAGTCTTTTAACTTGTATCAGGAGTGTCAGTGGGCAGTTTGTTTCCTTCTGTTTTGGAAGAACAGCACTACTAAAAGTGGCATGCATCCCACAGTGCTTGAATACTGTGAAAGCACTGTGCAAGAGCCCGAGACCCTGTGATGCTCCAGCCAGAAGACTCCTGGCAAAAAAGTGGGCATGTGCTATGTGGACTCTGTCTCTAATGGCTTTGAGAGAAGTCCTACAGTCTGAGCTGTGTGGACGTTGGCTTCCCAAAGTTACAAGCATCTTGAAGTTCCTTACCTTGTCCTTTCCAGTCATTTTCGCAGGACCCTGAGGCAGAGGATATAAAGGGATATATAACTATAAGATGCTGTTGCAACAGTTGATCACTTGCTTTTAATTGCAACTTTCTGCAGATGTAATGAAGCATTTTGACTGGCTATATTTATTTTTGTGCCTAAATCAAAATGTGTAAATTAGAGACTGATACAAGTTTTTCTACAGTCAAGCCATGTTTTAGATGTTTCAAACTGATCCAGGTTTACTCTGCTAGTGATTTGTATGGGCTCTTGAACTATTTTAAACTACAACTGGTTAGCACTTTTTGAAATATTTTGTAGCAAATTGCTATACCTATCCTGGTTAATCACGCCATGCGTACCTATTTTTATTGCATTTTCCTGCTCTGACAAATTTTTGGAAGTTGATGACTTTTATATCTTTTTATTCTATACAGTTGAACCTTGCTACAGTGCTCTTTCAGGAGCCATATGAATGTCCTTTTAAGAAAAGTGTGGAGAGGGGGCAAAAGAGAATTTTGTGGTAATGCTTGTTTCAACATACGAGATGGGGAGGATTTGTTCTTTTTTTTGTTTCCACAGCTCCTGTCTGGAAGACAAGATGCCACTTGCTATCACATTGTAATTGAGGTAGTGATTATAGTGATGCTCCACTGTATTTCAAATTCTAATGAAGAATATCTGATAAGTGAGAATGTGATCAGTAAACTTTTTATTTTTTACACTGAAATACTTAAGAATTTATCAGAAAATATGCAGCTGATTAAAAAGTGTGTTAACTTTAAAGTGTATTGCCTTAATACATAGATTATCCTTCTCTATTTTTCCAGAAAATCAACAAGGTCTACCTTAATATGAGTGCATGAGAGAGCATGTGCTTTAACTTTGTGGACTTTTTTTGTTAAGATTAGTATTAAAGCTGTATTTCTATTTATTGAAACTGCTTGCATTTAACCCCTGGGTACTGGGATTTCCCAACATGCACTAAAGTAAGTACAAAGTGGTGGGAAATTCTGGATCCAGCTGATACCTCAAGGACAAATTAATTTGATCTAAATTGCCTTGAGAAGAATTATGACTGTCTAGATTTTGCAGACTGTATGCAAAGCAGAAGGGGTTTTCCTACATCCTTGCAGCGCTACACTGTGCATGCTGCTTGAATATCTCATTCTAAATATGTATCTTCAGGAACACAGTGGCTGCCCCAGGTCTATGCTGTGATATTTGTAGCATAAGGCTGGAGTGCTGTCTGCTGAACTAATATTCTCAAACTAGTTTTATGTAGTGCTTAACATTTTCTAATAAATTCTTTTGACTAAGCTGGAAGTAGTCTCTCTGGTTTGTCACATGGGTTAATTTAAACAACTAAGTTTCCCTCCCTAATTTATTTCCAGAGGGATTCTGCAATTCTGCTGTGTAAGTATGTAAAACTAAAGAACAGAAGCTGTGCTGTTCTGGGCACTCATAGATGCGAGGTAAACCACAGAAGCAGCCTTCTTCCACTGGGGGCATTTCATTTAGTCTCCCTCAATGAAAGAGGGCTAAGCTGGAAGAGCTTTTTCACTGCTTTAGCTAACACTGTGATTTAAAAACCAAACTTATCCATTTAAACCAAAATAAGGAGAAACCTGTTCTTCATGCATCTTTTTATCTTTTTATTATTTCTTGGGTTAAAAATTACCTATCTTGCCAAGGCTCCTGACTCGTGTATACAGTATTGGTTCAGATATTTTACACACTCAAATTTCCAGTAAAAAATGAAGCTTAGACTCCCCCAGTATTGGAAGCCCCTATTTTTGATTAGCTTTCAGGAAGAAATTACTTGACACATAAAAGTAAGATTTCTTTTATGGGTCTCTAAATTAATTTTTCCATCTCGATAAGAATTTCACAGCATTAATGTTATTTCCCTTTGCATCCAAGTACACACAGATGTGTCAAGAATTTTGTGCTGAAATGCTTTACACAAAGCCCACTTACTGAAATATTGCAGAGCCAAGTTAAGCTGGACCTGTCTGGAGATGATCCTGATTCAAGGAGAAGTGATCCTTTCAGTGGTATAAATATCCATGTGAGGCTTCACATGGATCAAAGGCCTATCTCCCCTAATTTTGTTTTCTGCAGCTAGAAATACAAGCAAAGGCCTTAGAAAAGTTGGAAAGAAGATTGGATGAGTGACTGACTGCAATACATGAGCAACCTTCGCTTACAACAGAATCAACCTTCTCCCTCCCTCCCTTCCCACTACCAAGGACTGCTGTTACAAAACTTGTTTGAGAGATCCTAACCACCAGCAACAGTGCCATGAAGTTAGTGTCCACCTTGATTCCTTAGTCTTGGACAGGCTTGAGCATGGTGCAAGTTTTATGTTTAAGTGACAGCACCATTTTTTTTCTGTCCTAACAGAAGAGAGGTAAGGATTTCTTTGATCTTTTACTGCAACAACTGTATAGTGGGGAAAGCTGTTGGACTAGCTTTTAGGCATCCTCAGTCTTAACTCTACAGTTGGTACAATAAAAGATCACTGGAACCCTTGCCTCAGACACTTCCTAGACCATCATGACTACGTTCCAACTTCCTACAAACATGGAAGCTATTTTAGCCTTAGTGGAGTGGACCTTGTGGTACTAAAATTTTGGTCTAGCAAGAAAGTCTCAAATACAGCTGTGTACCCTCTGGAGTGTTTTCTTGCCTCGTAGATCTCATCACTGTCTCAGAAATTTGAAGACTTATTCAAAGATCTTGTCCCAGCAGAGAATAGCTAAGTACTGTGTAAGTCTGGGGTGGGCAAAATGCAGCCCGTGGGCCGGATGCAGCCTGCCAAGGCATTCTATCCAGCCCGTGGGGCCCCTAAAAAATGTAGGAAATTCATATTTATCTGCCCCTGGCTGCCTGTCATGTGGCCCTTGATGGCTTGCCAAAACTCAGTAAGCAGCCCTCCACCCAAAATAATTGCCTGCCTCTGGTGTAAGTTCACACAGTCTGGTTGTCCCATGTGACTGTAAACTGGGTCCTGCCTAGGCCAGCCCGGCAAAGCACAAGGGACTGCGGGCAGTTGCTACCTCTCCCCATGTTCCCAGTGCTCTCGGAGTGTGCTGCCCTCTTCTGGTCCCTGCCCTTTCCTGATGAATGAGCTGAATGATTTAAAGCAAGTATGGTTTATTGACTTAGTTATTTACCTTTTATATTTTGATGTAGTTTTATAAAGCTTTTAACAGTATATTCTCATTACTAAATTGTGCCCCACAGCTCTATTTTTGCACAATCCTGAATATTGAAATGGATAAGAATCAACATAAATGCTTAAACATTGAATGCTTCAACATAACATCAACATAAATGCTTAAACTAGGTGACTGTGGCATTGATGCCTACACAGTCAGATGGATTGCAAATTGGCTGAAGGGTCATACTCGGAGGGTAGTGGTGGACAGGTCTTTTTCGACCTGGAAGGAAGTGGGCAGTGGAGTCCCCCAGGGCTCGGTCCTTGGGCCTGCACTGTTCAATTTTTTTATTAGTGACTTGGATGATGGGGTAAAAAGCAGCCTATTTAAATTTGCTGATGATACCAAGATTTGGGGTGAGGTGGGCACGCTAGTAGGGAAGGACAGATTACAGCAGGACCAGGACAGGTTACAGGGGTGGGCTAATGAAAATAGGATGGGTCTACTGACAAGTGCAGGGTGCTGCACTTGGGCAGTGGGAACCAGCAGCACGCTTAAGCTGGGAAACTCCCTCCTCAAGAACACGGTGGCAGAAAGAGATCTTGGAGTCATTATTGACACCAAGATGAACATGGGCCAACAATACGAGGTCACGGTCAGTAGGACTAACTGTACCTTGTCGTGCATCCACAGATGCATCTCAGGCAGGTCCAAGGAGGTGATCCTCCCCCTCTACGCGACACTGGTCAGGCTGCAGTTGGAATACTGCATCTAGTTCTGGGCGCTGCACTTCAGGAGGGATGTGGACAGCATTGAGAGGGTCCAGAGGGGGGCCACCCGCATGATCTGGGGACAGCAGGGCAGACCCTACGAAGCGAGGCTACGGGACCTGAACCTGTTCAGCCTTCGCAATAGAAGGCTGAGGGGGGACCTGGTGGCCGTCTTTAAACTCACCAGGGGTACCAGCAGGGTTTGGGAGAGACCCTGTTCCCCCTAGCGCCCCCTGTGGTAACAAGGAGTAATGGCCACAAATTGTTAGAGAGTAGGTTTAGACTAGACATCTGAAGGCACTACTTCACTGTCAGGGTGGCTAGAATCTGGAACCAGCTTCCATGGGAAGTGGTGCTGGCTGGTACCCTGGGGGGCTTTAAGAGGGGGGTAGATGTCTACCCGTAAGAGGAGGCTAGATGTCTACCTGGCTGGGGTCATTTGAGCCCGGTTTTCTCTCCTGCCCAGGGCAGGGGATCAGACTTGATGATCTACAAGGTCCCTTCTGACCCTACTATGAATCTATAAACAACATAAATGCTTAAACATCTGCCAAACCTAAATATATTCTATCAGACCAACATAGGAATAAGGAAAGACATTAGCTAAGTTTTTGAGCATGCATTTCCTTCTGGGAGAAAAGATGCAGCCTAACAAATACATAATTTGTTTAAAAACTACTACCCACTTTTCTCTTTTAAGTCACCAGAAGTGTTTGCAGACCAAGTGAAGAGCAGCTGGTATAGATAAGTGTAGTA